ATCTATGTTTGTCTTTAGTATGGTACTTTTCACACAATTAACAAACCAATATTGCAGTATACGTTGTTCTTACCTAAAGTCTAGAGCCTGCTCTAGACTTTTTAATATTCACTCCTGCTCTACAACTTGCCCTGGTCTCTCCCTCTGCCTTATGCCCCTGGGTGGAATTCTTTCTCCCGAGGAGGCAAGAATTGGGGTTGCTGCAGACCCATACAGACTGGCCATTGCTAACAGCATTATTGTTAGTTTCCATGTGCCAGTTCTTTAGAACTTGAATCTGTATGTTGTTTTTAACTGGTTTTGAGAAACTCAGCCATTATGTGTTCAAATATTCCTTCTTCTTTATCTCTACAACCCCTTTTCCTTGTACGCTAACCACAGTTATGTACGTTGTACTGCTTAATCCCACATGTTCATTCCCATGGTGTTCTGCTCTTTCTGTTCTTTATTCTTTCTGGAATTGTGTTTGAGTATTTTTGGTTGTTGGATATTGACTTGTCCCAAATTTCACTATTCCTGGTTTCTTCCATATACAGCCTGCCATTAGACCCATTTATTACTTATTGATTTTGTATATTTCTACTTCTACAATGTCCATTGGGTTCTTTATAGTCTAATGCTCTGTTGAAATTCTTCATATTTTTACTTATTCATCTTTTCCTTGCTTTAACATATTTATAATAATATTCTGTTTTTTATACTTTAAGTTCTGGGGTACATGTGCAGAACATGCTGGTTTGTTACATAGATATACATGTGCCATGTTGGTTTGCTGCACCCATCAACCTGTCATCTACATTAGGTATTTTTCCTAATGCTATCCCTTCCCTAGTGCCCCACCCCCTGACAGGACCCAGTGTGTGATGCTGTCCTTCCTGTGTCCATGTGTTCTCACTGATCAACTCTCACTGAAGAGTGAGAACATGTGGTGTTTGGCTTTCTGTTCCTGTGTTAGTTTGCTGAGAATGATGGTTTCCAGCTTCATACATGTCCTGCAAAGGACATGGACTCATCCCTTTTTAATGGCTGCATAGTATTCCATGGTGTATATGTGCCACATATGCTTTATCCAATCTATCATTGATGGGCTTTTGGGTTGTTTCAAGTCTTTGCTATTGTGAATAGTGCTGCAGTAAACATACGTGTGCATGTGTCTTTGTAATAGAATGATTTATAGTCCTTTGGGTATATAGCCAGTGATGGGATTGCTGAGTCAAATGCTGTTTCTGGTTCTAGATATTTCTGGTTAATAGTCAAATGCTATTTCTGGTTCTTAAGGAATTGCTACACTGTCTTCCACAATGGTTGAACTAATTTACACTCCCACCAACAGTGTAAAAGCATTCCTATTTCTCCACATCCTCTCCAGCATCTGTTGTTTCCTGACTTTTTAATGATTGCTATTCTAACTGGTGTGAGATGGTATCTCATTTTGGTTTTGATTTGCATTTCTCTAATGATCAAGTGATGATGAGCTTTTTAAAATATGTTTGTTGGCCACATAAATGTCTTCTTTTGAGAAGTATCCATTCATATCCTTTGCCCACTTTTTGATGGGGTTGTTTTTTTCTTGTAAATTTGTTTAAGTTCCTTGTAGACTGTGGATGTTAGCCCTTTATCAGATGGATAGATGGCAAAAGTTTTCTCCCATTCTATAGGTTGCCTGTTCACTCTGATGATAGTGACGAGAGAGGGCATCCTTGTCTTGTGCTGGTTTTCAAACAGAATGCTTCCAGCTTTGGCCCATTCAGTATGATACTGGCTGTGGTTTTTCATAAATAGCTCTTATTATTTTGAGATACGTTCCATTAATGCCTAGATTATTGAGAGTTTTTAGCATGAAGGAGTGTTGAATTTTATCAAAGGGCTTTTCTGCATCTATTGAGATAATCATGTGGTTTTTGTCATTGGTTCTGTTTAGTGATGGATTATGTTTATTGATTTGCATATGTTGGACCAGCCTTGCATCCCAGGGATGAAGCTGACTTGATCGTGGTGAAAAAGCTTTTTGATGTGCTGCTGGATTTGGTTTGCCAGTATTTTAGTGAGGATTTTTGCATTGATGTTTATCAGGGATGTTAACCTGAAATTTCCTTTTTTTGTTCTGTCTGTGCCAGGTTTTGGTATCAGGATGATGCTGGCATCAGAAAATGAGTTAGGGAGGAGTCCTTCTTTTGCTATTGTTAGGAATAGTTTCGGAAGGAATGATACCAGCTCCTCTTTGTATGCCTGCTAGAATTCGGCTGTGAATCCGTCTGGTCCTGGGCTTTTTTTGGCTGGTAGGCTATTAATTACTGCCTCAATTTTGGAACTTGTTATTGGTCTATTCAGGGATTCAGCTTCTTCCTGGTTTAGTCTTGGGAGGCTGTACGTGTCCACGAATTTATCAATTTCTTCTAGATTTTCTAGCTTATTTACATAGAGGTATTTATAGTATTCTTTGTATTTCTGTAGGATCAGTGGTAATATCCCCTTTATCATTTTTTACTATGTCTATTTGATTCTTCTCTTCCTTTTTGTTAGACTGGCTATTGGTCTATGTATTTTGTTAATCTTTAAAAAAAAAAAACTAGCTCCTGGATTTGTTGTTTTTGAAGGGTTTTGTCTCTCTATCTTTTTCAGTTCTGCTTGATCTTAGTTCTTGTCTTCTGCTAGCCTTTGAATTTATTTGCTCTTGCTTCTCTAGTGCTTTTAATTGTGATGTTAGGGTATTGATATTAGATCTTTCCTGCTTTCTCCTTTGGGCAGTTAGTGCTATAAATTTCCCTCTAAACACTGTCGTAACTGTGTCCCAGAGATTCTGGTACATTGGGTCTTTGTTCTCATTGGCTCAAAGAACTAATTTATTTCTGCCATAATTTTCCTATTTACCCAGGTGTCGGTCAAGACCAGAGAGTAAAAGAAACCTTCAACAGGCTTCAACATGGTGGTTCAGACCTGTAATCCTAGCACTTTGAGAAGTTGAGCCAAGAAGATCACTTGAGCTCAGGAGTTTAAGACCAGCCTATGTCACATGGTAAGACCCCCCTCATCTCTACAAAAAAATAAAAAATTAGCTGGACATGGTGGTGTGCTCCTGTGGTCTCAGCTATTTGGGAGGCTGAGGTGAGAGGATCCCTTGAACCTGGGAGGCTAAGGCTGCAGTGAGCCATGATCATGCTACTGCATGCCAGCCTAGATGACAGTGAGACCCTGTCTCAAAAAGAAAAGACATCTTTGAAACCTTCGCCTTTGTGAAATTATGCCTGAGACAGCAAAAGAGTTCTAATTTAATTGACTCCATTTTGCTTCTAACCTCCAAGCTGTTCTTATTCATTCTTGGGTGGAGGCTGAACTAACTTTGGGAGAAATTTATAGTTTAAAACAAAGATGATAATAGCCCTTTTCCAAAGCAGATCTCCTTCTTGCCTAGGGAGTAGATTGCCTTTGTAGGACTAACATTAGCCGCAAGATTAGAAATTATGGTTTAGGAGTCATGCAGCTGGAGGCTATAAGATTCTGATCCTCTCTAAATTGCTCCTTGAGCTATTTTGCAGACCCTGCAAATGATAGGTCAGCTGGCACTACCTAGATCAGTAAACTGGCTCATCTGATCTTGTGGCCCCTCCATCTGGGAACTGATTTGGTGCAGGAGGACAGCTTTGACTCTCTATGATTTTATCTTTGACCAATCAGCACTCCCAACTGACTGGCTTCCCGCAACCCACCCGCCATCCTTTCTGCTCCTTGAATGCTCTGGGAAACTGATTTGAGTAATAATAAAACTCTGGTCTCAGGCACAGCCAGCTCTGTGTGAATTACTCTTTCTCTGTTGCAATTTCCCTGTCTTGATGAATCAGCTCTGTCTAGGCAGTAGGCAAGGTGTACCCCTTGGGTGTTTACACCTTCAACAATGGCATTTGTCTTATTGTTTTTTTTAGAGGTTATGATTGAACGTTTTGGGAGAGAATGGGAAGGGTCCAGGGAAGCACTAAACACAGTGGAGATTAAAGTACAGGAGAGGCTGGGTTGTGGCTCATGCCTGTAATCTCAGCACTTTGGGAGGCTGAGGCTTGGTGATACAGACCTGCAGTCCCAGCTACTTGGGAAGTTGAGGCAGGAGGATTGCTTGAGCCCAGGAGTTTCAGGATGCTGTGAGCTATGATAGTGCCACTGCATGCCAGTCTGGGTGACAGAGTTCTTGGCTCCAAAAATAAAAAATAAAGTACAGGAGAAGCTCAAAGGTGTTTACTTGGTGATGGTACTACCACATAGGGAGCATTAGGAAACATGACCAGTGTTTTTGACTTCTACAATGAGAAGTGTTGAGGTAGCAGCATTTGAGATTGAGGGGGCAGCAGTGCTAATATTCTGTGGGCTCAAGACAGTGCTGCACAATTGTCCTTCCTTTAAATGCCAATAACATCCCCCATTGACAATTAATTAATCCTTGTAGCACTAAAGATTACAGAAACATGACACATGGTAGTATTATATGGTCTCAAGGATCCAAATGGAATGCTGATGTCACATCCAGATAGTCACAGTGTCCTTGGCTTGTGGTAGGCATGAGAGAAGTGGTATTTGCTTTGGATAGGAACATGGTAGTTTAGATATACCTGGAGGGAGGGAATGCTCCCTCTCAGTGGACTATTTTTATACAACAAATTAACTCTCTCAAGTTTGTTTCCAACATTTTTTGTATTCATTATAAACAGGGTGATATGGTTTGGCTGTGTCCCTGCCCAAATCTCATCTTGAATTATAGTTCCCATTATTCCCATATGTCATGGGAGGGACGTGGTGGGATGTAATTGAATCATTAGGGCAAGTTTTCCCATACTGTTCTTGAGGTGGTGAATAAGTCTCACAAGATCTGATGGTTTTACAAATGGGAGTTCCCCCACATAAGCTCTCTTTTGCCTGCCAACATGTACAATGTGACTTTGCTCCTCATTTGTCTTCTGCCATGATTGTGAGGCCTCCCTAGCCATGTGGAACTGTAAATTAAACCTCTTTCCTTTATAAATCACCCAGTCTCGAGTATGTCTTGATTAGCAGCATGAGAACAGACTAATACACAGGGTTAAACTAAGAAGAATTTACTTGAATTATAAACTGGGTGTCCATCACATTGAGCATCCTCAGAGGGAAAGATGTGTAGACAATGCTATGCAAACTCTAAGTTTTTCTTAGAAATATTTCTAATGGAACTATTTCATATTGGAATCGCAGATTAATCAGTGGCTTTGTGTGTGTGTGTGTGTGTGTGTGTGTGTGTGAAAAGGAATGTCAGAGACTACCTTGAACCCACTGTCATACTTCTGAATACTTCAATGTAGAAATACAAAGTGTGCTTCCATTGTGGTCACTCATACCATGCAAGTAAATGAATAGCTGAATACCTGGGACTTTGATTTTAAATGTAATTATGATCTTTAACAATAACTGCTGGTTTAAAAATGAGCCAAAGTGTAAGTAAAATGGGCAACAGATAATATACTTCAGTTCCCAAAGAATAGTTATAAGGAAAAGTTGTGTTTCCTTTGCATCTTTCAGCCTTAGAGAAAAGACTTCATCATCTTATAGGTGATGTGGCTTTCTGGGCTCCTGATATCTTCATAGGGTTTGACTGGAATTTCTTTCTCTTGAAAATGAATGGGCATTTTCTTGCTCTCCACACTCATAAGCTTCACTCCCAGGGGGCCCAAGTTTACATAATCCTATGGTAAACAGACACAAAAAAGAATAAGAGAAGTGATTCAGCAAATTATCACCTTTGATAGAGTAGGCTTTCTTTATTACAGCTGGCCTTTATCTGACAGACTTCATTGCCTACTAATTGCTTGATGCTGTATAACACAGGAAATATGAGAACCACTATAAATGGGAAAAAAACAAAACACTCGGTAAACTTATATACCCTGTGGGGCATACATAGTAGGCAAGATCTCCCAAAAAGCAGGCAGCAAGGCTGGCAAGCTTGTCTCATAGTGGGTTAATGGGGGAGGGATGCTGTCTATAGTTAGTGCCAAACTAACTATAGTCTGTGAAAGGAAAATAAAAACATGGGACCCCAATTCACTTTGCAAAAAGGAAAAAATTAAGCCGCAAGCTGAGTCATGTAAGCGACTGCCCTTCTTTTTGTTCGTAAGCAGATAGCTGCAGATAAAAGGTTTAATATATCCACAGGTAGCTACTCTACGTGCACCTGATCTTTTGTAAAGTGTGAGGTGAGTACATAATTGACTGTTCCCTACCTGCTCCTTTTCTCTTGCAGCATGTAGATGACCGTACCCTCCTGCTTTCCCCTCCAGCCCACTTTTTTCCTTTAAATACTGAAGGCCTCCAAGTCATCTTTGGAGAAAGGCACAGACCACACACTGCTTCTGTGATTTCATGTTTTTTTCTTCTAGGTATTGTCCTTAACATTGGCAAAATCAACTTCTAAATTGATTGAGACCTGTCTCAGATACCTTTTGGTTTACAAGTCTGAGCTGTCAAAAAACAGAAGTCTAACTGATAAGAAATCCCGTAGCCAACCCAAAACTGGGTGGACAAGAGTTCACACCCTACCCAATGTCCCTTCCTCTGGGAAGTCTCCCCTGTCATAACTCTTGCTTTTTAATTTGTTCTACACGACTCCTTAGCAAACCTTTTCCAAGTGTTCACTGTATGCCAGCCCTGTGTCAAGTTCTAGGGTGCAATGATAAGCTCACAGACTGATTGGGGACATAGGTACATATGGTCTGTTTACTCTCAAATGGTAGTTGTTGATTTTCTTACCTGTCTTCTACAAGTCTGTAAGTGATTTGGGGGTAAGGCTGCTGTATAGGCATCTTGGAGAGTTCATTTCTTGCTATTCTCTCCCTTAAAGGCGCAAGCATTTAACACGGACCTGGCATGTTGTGGGACTCTCAATAAATATTTATTTGAATTTAGAAGAATCAAAGAATGAAAAAGGAAGGTGATGTCTTATTTCTCAAAATATATATAATTCTATTTAGCTTTCAAAATATGCAGCTGTGATAAATGCAAGACAGGAGAAAAGTAAGTTGATGGAGATCTATCACATATTTCAGAATCACCGGGAGGAGGATTCTCAAGTAATAAACCATGGCCATGGCAGTTTGATGACATTGGAAACTTGCATGGAAGAAGGTCTTTCATTCAACCAAATGGTATGCAATTAGGGGATTTTGGAGACAACTGTCCACTAGCCTGAGATTATCATGATATCCAGGAGTCATGATTCTAAGATACTCTTGGAGGTGTTTCAGTGTTAGAGGAACTAGAACTTTAGTCTTTAAATCATCACTTGTTGGCAGCAGAATTGAATTGTAGTTAGTTAAAATGGTTTGTGTTGGTTTATTCAGTTTCTTCTGCTTTCTTACATCATTTTTTTCACTACCAGACTTTAAATTCTAGGAGAACTTTTAAAGTACCAAGAAGGAAAATAACAAGGGATGGCTGTGGGAGTAACTGGAATGGACTAGAAAGAAGTTTTAAAATTAAAAGGCTTAAAACTCAAGGTTTTAACGAATGGTATATGTGGCAATTTGTACTTTCCAAAGATAGCCTAATTCCTATCATATTCCAAGTGCTTCTTTTACAATGTGATGCTGACCTTCCTCCATCAAGATGCAGGAACTATGTTCCTTCCCCTTGGATGGAACTTTGTAACTGGATCAACCAGTAGAATATGATGGAAGTGACAGTGTATGATTTCCAAGGCTAAGACATACAAACTACTGCTTTCTTTCTTTTTTTTTTTTTTTTTGAGATGGAGTCTTATTCTGTCCCCCAGGCTGTATGCAGTGGTGCAGTCTCTGCTCACTGTAACCTCTGCCTCCCGGATCCAAGCGACTCTCCTGCCTCAGCCTGCCAACTATCTGGGATTACAGGCACACACCACCATGCCCAGCTAATTTTTGTGTTTTTCGTAGAGATGAGGTTTCACCATGTTGGCCAGGCTGGTCTTGAACTCCCGACCTCAGGTGACCCACCCACCTTAGCCTCCCAAAATGCTAGGATTACAGACATGAGCCACCACGGCCAAATTGCTGCTTTCATCTTGGTCTCTAGGATTGTTTGATCTGGGAAAAGACACACTATAACAAAGGAAATTCAAAACATCCTGTGGGGAGGCACATGTAAAGAAGAAGTGAGGCTCTCAGTTTAGCCAGCATCAACATGCCATGAATAAACCACCTTGGAAGTGAAGACACCTGCCCCAATCAAGCCTTCAGATGAGTGCAGACCTAGCCAACATATGGTTGCAACTGAGAGTCCACCAAGTGAGAACTGTTGAGTGGAGCCCTTCCTGAATTTCTAACCAACAGAGCCCTAAGAGAGAATACATAATTGTTGTTCTAAGCCACTAGGTTTTAGGGATTGTTATGTAGCATTAGATAGCTTACTTTGTATACTAGTAATGGAGGCCTATAAAGGAATATAGATAGCAAATTGGGCAAGAGTAGGAGTGAAAATAGTATTCAAATGAGAGATGTGAATGGTGGGTCAATTTTACTAATAATTGTAAATGGAATTTACGCTATGCATACATTAGGTTTTTCAATTAATAAAACAGCATTGTCTTGGTAGTCAAAGTTATGTTCTTATGAATCTTACCTTGAAATCCTTCTCATCCTCATATAGTAAGTACTTCACATCCGTGTCCCCAGACTCTGTGCATGAGCCTTCCTCTTCAGCTGTCTTCACATACTGGAGATCCGTGATGCTCGTTTCATGACTAAGAGGTAAGGTCCTGATCTCATCTGATGAGTGCATCATGTTTCCACTTTCTGCTTTGATGGGTTGCAGTTCTGACTTCTCTTCTTGGATGAATACAAAGGAATTAATTATGTAAGCATTTTTGATCAAATACAATACATACTTTGTCACATTTTTAATTGGATGGAACTTGGAGAATTGCAAATGTAGAATTTATGTGTTAAAGTAAGAGAGAGTCCCATTTGTAGAAATTCTAAGTTGTATTACTTTCTGTTAGCTAATAAGTTACAGTAATTATATGGGTGTCTATGTATATGTTGTCATTTTGGTTAGCTAAATAGGGCCCTAAACCTTGCCAGTGTAGACAACAGACCATCCCTCATCCCTTTTCGCCAGTATTTATTTAATTTACTGTGAAACATGGTGACCTTCATTTGAAAGTGGGACTACAGAGAGGAGATAGATTAGGACAAGCCCTGCAAGAGGAGAAATTTAGAGGAGCTGGCAGGTATCTACTCCCTGAATAGCTTTTGTATGTGGGCACCTGCTCACAATAGGTAAGTGTTTTTAAAATTGAAAACAAGAGTTTGAAAAAATATCACCATTGCAATAAAATAATACCTATATGTGTTTCTGGCAATTCCAAAGGCATTTCTTCAGGTGGCACTTCTAGTCCAGCAGCTTGGGTAAGATATAGTCGTCTAAAAGAACAAATAAGAAAACTGGTCTGTCAGTCAATATATATTGCATTGCATGCTTACTAGGGTGTATCTCTCTACTAGGTGCTAGAGAAATGAGACATAATTTCTACCCTGAGGAGCATAAAGCCCAGTAGGGTGGCAGGTAGCCTAACAGCATTTTAAAGTCACTGTATGTTAATTACCATGATGGGTAATTAGCACAGTGTGAGAATGCTGGGAGACAGAAGCAGCAGCACTTGAGTCAGCCTTAGGATGAAGGAAAGTTTTCCTGGATGAAACCTGAGCCTAGTCTTTGATATGGTTTAGCTGGGCCCCACCCAAATCCCATCTTAAACTCTAGTTCCCATAATCCTCACATGTTGTGGGAGGGACATACAGTCTTGAACCTGAAGGAGCTTGCCAGGGAAGAGCTAGGGGTGAGAGAAGGGTATTCCAAATAAGGGAATAACACAAAGTTCAAAAGATGAGCGTGAGCATGGTACCAGTCAGGTCATTGTAGTATTTCAGGTACGGAATGATAGTGGCCTGAAAGACATGGTTTTGAGATGAAGAGAGAAGGAGAAGGCGAGCAGTAGGAATCCAAGATGCCATCTAGGTCCTGGCTTTCACTTAGTGGTGTGCTTCAGCTACAAGCCCAGTGAATTGATGTCCACATACTGTTGTAGCTCTCTGTACATGGTTTAATTCTGTGCTTTCATTTTTAGAATGTAATTGAATCATGGGGGTGGTTACCTCCATGCTGTTCTCGTTTTAGTGCGTGAGTTGTCATGAGATCTGATGGTTTTATAGGGGGCTTTTCCCCAACCTTCGCTCTGCACTTCTTCCTGCTGCCATGTGAAGAAGGTTGTGTTTCCTTCCCCTTCTGCCATGATTCTAAGTTTCCTGAGGCCTCCCCAGCCTAGTGGAACTGTGAGTCAAACCTCTTTCCTTTCTAAATTATCCAGTCTCGGGCTGTTCTTTATAGCAGCGTGAGAATGGACTATACAGTCTTGAACCTGAAGGTGCTTGCCAGGGAAGAGCTAGGGGTGAGAGAAGGGTATTCCAAATAAGGGAATAACACAAAGTTCAAAAGATGAGCGTGAGCATGGTGCCAGTCAGGTCATTGTAGTATTTCAGGTGCGGAATGATAGTGGCCTGAAAGACATGGTTTTGAGATGAAGAGAGAAGGAGAAAGCGAGCAGTAGGAATCCAAGATGCCATCTAGGTCCTGGCTTTCACTTAGTGGTGTGCTTCAGCTGCAAGCCCAGTGAATTGATGTCCACATACTGTTGTAGCTCTCTGTACATGGTTTAATTCTGTGCTTTCATTTTTAGAATGTCCGTTGAATTTTCAGTCAGAAAATATAATGCCTTGAAAACTGTGTATGGCATTTCCATGAGGTTTACCTGAAGATAGCATGAAGTAATTGAACTCTTGCAAATGTGCAAACAAGCTTTCATGCTTGGAAGCTAAGCAACCAAAGTGAATCCCCTAAATTAGAGGCTGTTAGTTATTTAAAGAACATGAATAAAGTGTTATCCAGATGGTAATGGCTCCAGCAAACACTGTAACTACATGCAATATTTACACCTACGAAACCTAAAAACTTTAGTTACAGTAAGTTTAGTAAAAGTATCTTAGTAAAGGTAAGTTTCGCATGTAGCTGTGGTCTGCAGGGAGACATGTCTGAGGCTATATAATTCTTTTCTTTCCTAGTTTTACCATTGTGAACAATTAAGATCTTTCTAAAGGCCATAACCTTCAGGAATCTAGCTTTTTCTATTAATTGCTAGTTTGCTGTCATTTCTGTACTACTACAGGGTAGCAACACTTGATACTTAATGATTTGGAAAATAGTTTAAAAGATGTTATTGTGGTAAGCTAGTGTTAGATTTGTAGGTATTGACCCACTTAGCCTCAGCCATTTGGCGCTGGAGTCCCAGGCAGTCACCTCTGGCTGACAGTTGCCTCATTTGTTTGCCCCAGTGTGTCAAACAAATCCTATAACATTCTATGTGAGTTGCGATGGAAAAAAGTTTGAGTACCTTTACATAGGAAATTTGGTAACTCCATTAACCACAATATCCCATTCCTCATCCAACTTGGAAATAGAACGTCTTCTGTGTCCACTGGGGACTGTTCATGTCTATTTCTTATCATCCTACTAGTATTATACAAAACTTAATTCTCAACAAAGAGATGGAGGGGGCAGTTACCATAAAAATATAATATGTATAATATTTCTTTGGCTTGGAAATGGGTATAGTAAAAGCTCCTGAGTACTCTCAGGTTATCTTTCTGCATAAGAAGTCTAGTAGATAATTGAGGGGTTTCATATTTTCCTGTTTCTTTATGCAGTTCTTTCTAAAATGTCCAAAACAGTTGCCTCAAGGAGTTTACAATCTAGTAAAGAAGCAGACATTTAAAAAGTAATCAAAAGTTCAGGTTGCTGTGGAAGCGTATAGCAAGGACACATTTATCAGTTCCTATAAATGTCACCCATTGCTGTTTCTTTTCCCTTGAAAAGATTTTGATTTCATTTATTCCAACTCTGAAGCTAGACTAGGCACTCCATTCCTCTCAGTAAGGAAAACCAACCCCTAAAGCACTGATGAACAATGTGGATTTTACTGACTTTTGAGGGGAAGCGTGAGTATGAGGTTAAATTACATACTGCACACTAAACAACTAAATTAAAATCCCCATTAAAAGTTTCTTAATCTCCCATTCTGTTCTTGCCAACTCCCCACTGGCCAGTGAAATAATTCCCTTTTTTTTTTTAGAATTATTAGCACTTTACAACCACCATGTCAGAACAAATATACCAGACCAAGCTGATCCATGTAGAGACATGGGGCTGGCCGCTTAGAGAGTAGCTCTTTCCTTAAGTTTAGCCAGTTCAGAAAAGAGGGCAGTGGACAGCAGGTATAGCAGTAGTTAGAAGCCACACACCAGCAATGCCTGGCAGAGATTAGACATAATGCCAAAGGCATCAGCAGCAGCAGCAGATAATGAGGATTAGAGGTGGGACAGGAATGTAGCACTGGAGACCTGATAACAGAGAGGAGGGCTGGCAAAAGCAAGCATTGCCTACTGGGCGACAGTGAGCACCTACCCCCTATAGGCCCTCTAGGGCATCAGCTCAAAAGACTGGAAGTACAGGAGTTCAGTAATCAATCCTCATTCAGCCTTCCCTCATCTATATTGGTATCGACTCTATCTGAAGCACACAAATAATTATGCAAAGGGGGCAGATGGCCTCTTTCTCTATCCTGCCCCACCCAGCGTATCTTTTAATTTCTCTAATCTTGTATCTGACACCCATCATTTAGCCTGGCAAACAAAGAACCCATAACTTTTCTGTATCCACCTTTCTTGGAAAACGATAGAAAGTTTGTAAATAACAAATACATGATCATGTCTCAAATAGTAGTTTCCATGTCTCACAAACAATAGGATCTACTTGTGTGGAAAATTGTTCCTGGCTCTTCCACCAGGTTCAACTTAACATCTGCTTTAATGCCTAGACTAGACATTTCTCTCCTATACTTGCACACATTTGTGTGACTTCCCCCTCTTCCTAAACATACTACTATTTAGATTGTTTTTTTGTGTTGACTACTTGTCTAAATAATGAGTGCTATTTTGAATTTTAATTTTATATTCAAAGGCCCTAGGTTTCTGTCAAGCTTAAAAAAATTAAGACTTTTTTGTCAAATAAGGAAAACTTCTAACCGAAAATATAAAACTGTAAATACCACTTGGTTTCTTGTGTGCAAGAACAAATGTGACTTGGAATGCCAAGCTCTTTTCTTGGCCTATGGAGTAGTTCTGACTCTTTCAACCAAAAGAATTAATTCTAGAATCCACAGGAACCCAGATAAGCTCCACGAAACTTCGAGAAAGTGGATCAGCTAATCCTCTGTGCTAATGCTTTACCTCCTCCATATTCTGCCGTACTGTTATGTATTTATTTTCATGACCATTCCCCACGCTGGCCTGGAGGTTCCTGAAGGTTGGCAGTTATGATGTTCACGTTATGTGCTGGCTATTGTGACTACAGTGCATTGCAAAAAAAAAAAAAAAAAAAACACCAAGCAAAGTTTACACTGTACCAGTGATCAATAGTAATAATCCTATACCTTCATCATGACCATTTTGTATGTCCCTTTCTTTTTGGACTACTGCAATCTGGCTGGAGCATTGAAGAATTAAATCATCTTTTTTTTTTAATTTTAAAAACTACTTTTTACAGATACAAACGTTTACAAAATACTTTATATATATTACATATATATATAAATAATTTTCACCTGGGTATTTTGAGATCCACAAGTCTACAGTTGAATAATTGATCAATAAGCACCAAATTTTCTTCTTCCAGTTTATGAATAGCATTTTCTAATTCTTCAACTTCCTTTCTGTGAATTGCAACCTGTTCTCAGAGGAGAGAATGAATGTTGGTACTTACTGATTTAGTTCTATTAAGTTTTCTTTTCTTTTCTTTTCTTTCTTTGAGACAGAGTTTCACTTTTGTCACCCAGGCTGGAGTGCAGTGGTGCAATATCAGCTCACTGCAACCTCCACCTCCCGGGTTCAAGCGATTCTCCTGCTTCAGCCTCCTGAGTAGCCGGGATTACAGGCATGTGCCACCACGTCTAGCTAATTTTGTATTTTTAGTAGAGACAGGGTTTCTCCATGTTGGCCATGGTTGGTCTTGAACTTCTGACCTCAGGTGATCCACCCACCTCGGCCTCCCGAAGTACTAGGATTACAGGTGTGAGCCACCATGCCCAGCCAAGTTCTATTAAGTTTACTATAATAAACTCAACTTCTAAAAGTGCATTTGCCTGAGGGGAAGACCTATTATGTACTTTGTCCTTCCTCTCTAAAAAGGAATAGGTGGAAATCTTTTTTAGATCATCAGCAGAACTTGTCTGAATAGTTAGGTAGTTATTACAGAATAGTAGGAATTGTCCTTTTCTACCCTTCAAAAACACTGCTGGACTTATATATGAGTCAGAGACAGAGATAACTGAGAAAATATGGGTGATGAATTTAGCAATAGGGCATATTAGTAGCTAAGTTAGGATGTATCTAAGGGTAATTATAAACTATACAATGAAAACCAATAACACTGGAAAAATGCTATTTATCGATAGTTTTTTTAAAAGAGAAGCACAGGCCTAGCAGTCCTTCTGTCAGCCTCTGGAGTACAATGATGTTCTCCCCGAGTGCTAGGTAGTTCTGAGAACTGTTAGGTAGATGAAATATTGGCTGTCCTTTCGTTCATTTCATTCAGTTGTATTGTATGCCTATCATGTGGCAGAAATGATATTACACTTTGGGAACAAAGGATCAGCAATATGTAGTAACCTTCAAGGATCTTGTAGCCTAGTGGGAAAAATGGCGATGAAAACAGAAAATAGAATGATAATAACCAAAATGGAAGCCATCCAGGTGCTATGGGAGGAGAGAGGTTCACCTTACTTCTGTCAGTTGTTGGGGATAAGGGAGCATTAATAGAAGAGATGACAGCTAATCTGGATCCTGAAAGCTAAGCAGGGACTCCCTAGGCAGACATAGGAGGCTGTGCCCAGGCAGAAGAGAGCACATGTGCAAAGGCACGATCATTTTGATGCGGACAGATACAAAATAAGAATAGGGAGAAGCAAGAGAGGAACTGGAAAATTAAGGAAGAGCCAAATAATGCTAAAGAGTTTGGTTTTTATCCTGTTGGTGATAGAAGGTCATTGACAAACATAGCAAATTTAGTTGATGTTTACTGAAAAAATGGACTAACTTTGGTACATCAATTGGGCTTGTAAAAAAGAAGAAAAATAATGTGGTTAATTCAAATAGGAACAAATGTCCTGGTTCTGTTGATAGAGCTCTCATCTGTGGTGTATTTTGTTGAGAGGCTGAGACAGGACAATCACTTGAACTCGGTAAGTAGAGATCGCAGTGAGCTGACATCACGCCACTGCACTCCAGCCTGGGCAACAGAGTGAGAATCTGTGTCAGAAAAAAACAGTGTATTTTGATAACTTTTGTCCAAAAAGGGCTTGATAGTGGGAAGTGTATATAGAAGAACGTTACTAGATAGAACCTCCAAACCCATCTCTCCACCACCCAAAGCAGCATGAACTACACAGGTGCCGGATCAGAAGGCGCTAATGGGGATAGATCAGAACAATAGGAGAATTAGAAGCTAGAGCATAAAATAGAAAGAGGTAGGCTGGTAGGAATAATGGTAATATAAACTGGAGGAAGTAAGAAAAGTCCCAAGGGAATACGACGAAACAAAAAAGGCACAGGAATTTAGATTCAGTATCTCTTGTCAGGAGCTGCCAAGAGTGTAACTGAGATGGGTACTCAGAAGGAGATGACTAACATTTTCTGCTTTGTCACTGAGATTTAATTGTATTTTGGAATCTTAAGGCATTCAATATGTTACCACATGCATATCTCTATTACATCACCATTTATTATATGCGTGAATTCTTAGCAAATAACACAAAAAACAAAAATTAAAAAATAATTAGCTTGGTGTGGCAGTGTCCACCTGTAGTACCCACTACTTGGAAGACTGAGGCAGGAGGATCACTTGACTCCTGAAGTTCAGTGTTACAGTGAGCTATGATTGTACCACTATACTTCAGCCTGGGTGACAGAGTGAGACCCTTTCTCAAAAACAAAAACAAAAAAACCCCAAAGCATGAGACAATGAGACAGGGCTTGCCCTGTCACCCAGGCTGGAGTGTAGTGGTCCCATCCCAGCTTACTTCAACTTCAACCTCCTAGGGCTTGGGTGATCTCCTGCTTCAGCCTCCTGAGTAGTGGGAACTACAGGTGCGCCACCACACCTGGATAAATTTTTTTTTTTTTTTTTGGTATTTTTTGTAGAGATGGAATTTCGTCATGTTGCCCAGGTTGGTCTTAAACTCCTGGGCTTCAAGCAAGCTGCTTGCCTTGGCCTCCCAAAGTGCTGGGATTACAGGCGTGAGCCACCCAGCCATGAATTCTTTTTTATTTATTTATTTTTGCTCTGTCACCCAGGCTGGAATGCAGTGGCATGATCTCAGCTCACCACAGCCTCTGCCTCCTGGGTTCAAGCAATTCTCTTGCCTCAGCCTCACAGCACTTTCCATAGGCACCCGCCATGACACCCAGCTAATTAAAAAAAATTTTTTTTAGTAGAGATGGGGTTTTATCATGTTGGCCAGGCTGGTCTTGAGCTCCTGAACTCAAGTGATCAGCCCACCTTGGCCTCCCAAAGTGCTGGGATTATAGGCATGAGCCACCATGTCCAGCCATAAATTCTTTTTTTTGTTGTTGTTGTTGACATGGATAAAGCTGAACATAAATTCTTATTATGGCCAAGGTTCAGAGCTAGAGGTAGAAAAATGCAAGGGTGAATAAGGCATGGCTCCTTCCCTCAAGAGAACTTATAATCCAGCAATTAAAACCACAGATAATTATAATATAAACCAATACCATTGCCATGGAAAAGGCTCAAATATTGCTGGTGGCTTGAAGTTAGAAAGAAAGGCTATATTTAACTCATTAATAAGAACTACATGTAGCTGAAGTACATTCTCTCAAAAGGCAGTGAGCTTTGTTTCATAGATAGCATTTAAGCACAGGTTAGGTGGCTACTTTGTATGTAAAGGGTTCAAGTAGAAGGGTAGATTGGGCTAGATAAGCTTAAGGTACTGCTGTCCTCATAAGCCGGAAACAGACTACTAAGAAATAGAGTTCAGTGACTCTCTGTTACTTGCTAGAGAGAGCTCAAACTTCTCTGCATGGCGCACAATGTGGGCCACACCTCCTTCTCCATTAATTATGATAGATGTACCATACAATGTAAGATGTCAGTAAAAGAGAAAACTGGGTGTGGCATATAGGAGAACTCTCTTTGTATCCTTGTAATAATTCTGTAAATTTAAAACTTATTTTAAAGAAGCAGTCAAGGGCAAAACCCCTTTCATGCTCCCTGCCATCTCTGAACTGACTGGCAAGTCAGTCATTGAATGATTTTATGCAGAAGATTGACATGACCATGTTTTATTTATTTATTTTTAAATTTGATTTATTTTTTTGAGACAGAGTCTCACTGTGTTACCCAAGCTGGAGTGCAATCGCACAATCTTGGCTCACTGCAACCTCTGCCTCCTAGGCTCAAGCAATCCTCCTGCCTCAGCCTCCCAAGTAGCTGGAACTACATACAGGTTTATGTTTTAGAAAGATGACTCTGAGGCAGTGTGAAGGAGAAAGGGAAAGGTTCCATTCTAGGCAGGGAGGAAAACCAGATAAGACACAAGTGAAAGATCTGGGGGAGAGGTAATGAGGCCTGAACTAGGACGATGACAGAGAAGGAGAGGTGGTCAAAGTAGAAGTGATGGGACTTGGGTGATGGGACTCTGAATGTGAGAAGTGAAAAGAACATTTCTAAAATAGTTGGCACTTCAGCCAGGGGTGGTAGCTCACCGCCTGTAATCCTAGCACTTTTGGAGGCTGAGGCTGGTGGATCACTTGAGGTCAGGAGTTCGAGACTTGCCTGGCCAACATGGTGAAAACCCGTCTGTACTAAAAATACCAAAAAAATTAGACGTGGCATGGTGGCATGTGCCTGTAATCCCTGGAACTACATTTTTATTTCCCTGCCAAATGTTTTCACAAGAAGTGTTTAAACTTGGGAGATGGAGGTTGCAGCGGGGCCGAGATCATGTCACTGCATTCCCGCCTGGGCGACAGAGTGAGACTCTGTCTCAAAAGTAAATAAATAAATTTAAAAAATAAAAATAAAATAGTTAGCACTTGAACAACACATGCAGGTTTTTTTTTTTTTTTTTTTTTTTTTTTTTAGATGGGGGTTTCACTCTGCCACCCAGGCTGAAGTGTAGTGGCACAATCTAGGCTCACTGCAACCTCCTGGGCTCAAGCGACTCTCTTGCCTCAGCCTCCTGAGTAGCTGGGATTACAGGTGCCCACCACCATGCCTGGCTAATTTTTGTATTTTTAGTAGAGATGGGGTTTCACTATGTTGGTCGGGCTGGTCTCAAACTCCTGACCTCAAGCGATCCATCTGCTTCAGCCTACCAAAGTGCTGGGATTACAGGTGGGAGCCACCATATTCAGCCAACATGCAGGTTTTTTTCAACCAAACACAGATAAAAAATGCAGTATTCCTGGGGTGCAAAACTCATATATACAGAGATATATATCATAAACATGCTATAACCCATGCTACATTCCATAACCTATGCTATAAACATGGGTTCTGCAGGGCTGACTGCCGGATTTGAGTGAGCTTGGATTTTGGTGTAAGTGGGAGTTCTAGGACAAATCCCTTGAGTATAAACAGGTGTGACTTAACTCCCAAGTTTCTGGCTTAGGTGACTGGATAATGGTGGCATTCTTAAGTGGGACAGACAAAGTAGGAGAGGAGGCAGTTTTGGGAAAAAGGGAAGATGCAGTCAATTTAGGAGTTTGAGAAGTCTGTGGTGCAATTAGGTGGTTTCACAGCTGGTTGTCGAATATGTGAGTTTAGAGCCTGGGATTGAGAACACTTTCAACTTGGAAAGGATACTTTCTAGGCCCGCAACACAATTATCATCCTCAGACACTTCTTCCCTGGTATTCTGGGAAGTACACTATTTCCTGTTTTTCTCTTCATCAGTTTACTTTCTTGTTTTGCTGAAGTATGTGGTTAAGTAAATTCCTGAGAAAGCATGCGAAGCATTCTGAGCCTTTGCATTTCTGAAAATAGCTTTATTTGTCCTTAATCTAGTTTAGCTGAGTATAGAACTCCAAGTTAAAAATAATTTTTCATCTGAACTTTGCTATTGAAAAATCAAATGTCAGTTTGGGTCTTATTCCTTTGTAGTTAACTTCACTCCCAACCCTACCTGCTTCTGCCAGAAACTTTTAGGATTTTCCCTTTGTTCTTGGTGTTCTGAAAATTCATGTCCTTTTCAGAGCCCTGAAATTTCTTCTGTTATTTCATTGATGATTTCCTTCCCTCTTTTTTCCCTCTCTTTCTTTTTTCTTTTTTTGAGACTCTCTGTCACCCAGACAGGAGTGCAATGGTGTGATCATAGCTCACTGAAGCCTTGACCTCCTGGGCTCAAGTGATACTCCCACTTCAGCCTCCTGAGTAGCTGGGACCACAGCTATTTATTTTTTGTAGAGCTGAGGTCCTGCTATGTTGCTGAGTCTGGTCTTGAATGCCTGGGCTCAAGCAATCCTCTCGCCTCAGCTTCCCAAAGTGTTAGAATTAAAGGAGTGAGCCACTCCACTGGCTCCTATTCTTTCTTTCTGAAATTACTATATATTAGTTGGATATTGTACATCTTACATTAGTACTCTGTGTTTCTTATTTCTCTTCTTCCTTTTTTGTTTGTATTGTGGTCTTCCCTGTTTTGAGAGTTGATCTCTGTTCTGTATTTTATTTTATTTTTGAGACGGAGTGCCAGTCTGTTGCCCAGGCTGGAGTGCAGTGGCTCGATCACAGCTGACTGCAGCTTCAAACTGCTGAGCTCAAGCAGTCCTCCCACCTCGGCCACCTGGGTATTTGGGACTACAGGCACTCACCACCATGCCTGGTTAACGTTTCTGTTTTTTTACAGATGGGGTTTCACTATGTTGTCCAAGCTGGTCTCAAACTCCTGGGCAATCCTCCTGCGTTGGCCTCCCAAAGTACTGGAATTACAGGCATGGACCACCATGCCTGGTCTGTTTCCTATTTTATATTTGATTTTTGTTCTGAAAGCATCTTGTTTTATAAATAAAATGCCTTCTACAATTGAAAAAAATATATATATATATTTTTTCTCTATATCTATATATCTATATATGTGTGTCTATGTGTATATATATACATAGAGAGAGAGATTGTATATATATATATATGTATATATATATGGAGAGAGAGAGAGAGATAATTTCACCATGTTGCCTAGGTTGGTCTCAAACTCTTGCAGTCAAGTGATCTGCCTGCATTGGTCTCCCAAAGTGCTAGGATTATAGGTGTGAGCCACTGCACCTGGCCAGATTTTTTTTTTTTTTTTTGCTCCTATATGTCCTTCAAGGCTCATCCTAACCATCAACCTTCATTTGTTTGTTTTATTTTGTTGTAGTTGGTGTTTTTATTTTTTTTTTTTTTTTTTGAGACAGGATTTCACTCTCTCTCCCAGGCTGGAGTGCATTGACAGGATCTTGGCTCACTGCAACCTCCGCCTCCCAGGCTCAAGCGAGTCTCGTACTTCAGCCTGCCAAGTAGCTGGGAGTAACTATAGGCGTGTGCCACCTTGCCTGGGCTAACTTTTGTATTTTTAGTAGAGACGGAGTTTCGCCATGTTGGCTAGGCTGGTCGTGAACTCCTGGTCTCAAGTGATCTGCCCGCGTCAGCCTCCCAAAGTGCTGGGATTACAGGTGTGAGCCGCCAGGCCTGGCCAGGTATTTTTGGTTATACTAATAAAAGACCTTCATAGTTACCTAAATTTTTTTCCATTTCTTCTACAGTTTTTGTTGTCATTGTTTACTCTTTATTTTGTTGTTATTAGTTCACTTGGTCTTTGTCTTCTGTTGTGCTAAATTTACTCAAATGCTTGGTGGTCCTTAGATGTCTATTTATATTTAAGAAAAGTCTGGAGAATGGCATGGATTTTCCCCACCACTGTATAAATAGGTCTGTTTTCATATCAAATTTTTCCTCTGAATGGGAATGTGGACTGGAGACTGTTTGTGGTATAGCAGGAGGTGTGAAATGGCAAATCCCAAAGGATGGGAAGGCAGGAGTGGGGTATTAGGTTGTGGCTTCCTAAATGCCAACATAGGAAGGATTTTCTGTGGGGAACAGAAACATCTAATGTCTACACTAGAAACCTTGGCCTTTATCTGATAATTTGTTTAGTGTTCTCAGAGGACAGTTATCAGGCTGTTAGTTCAGGACTAAGCACTTTGGTGGTATGTGAGGGAAATAGTAGAGGGTGATGGTGCATGCTTACTGATATAGATGTTCCCTGTTCAGACATCAAGTACTCCTCTTATTTTCTGCTCCAGTTCTCATTTCCACCATCTATAGCACATACAGACTCTGAGTAAAAGAATCTCCTAGGTTTCCGAAAACGCATTGAGTTTTGCACATCCTCTGTAGTTCTCTTGTAACATCTGGCCCAAGTCATAGCTTCCTGTTTCATCCAACAACATACCCACACATCTGCTTTTTGTCTTTCAGAAGATTTCTGACATCTCACCTGCTAGTTAACTCTTCTTGTTCCCTTTGTGGATGATTTCCTTTTTATTTTTTTTGTAATTTTTACAATTGTATTTCAATGGGCCCTCAGGAGAGGTAGGATGCAGCCTACCATCTTGAACTACAGTAAACAGTTCACAAAGGTTTTAACCTAGCTGCTTCTTTCACCTATGATCTAAGCTATTTATTTGATTAATCCCTTCAGTGAGTATATCTATATTCCATGACATTCATTCATTCAATAACTAATGAGCACAGATTATTTATCAGGTGCCATGGATATATAGTTGAAAAGATATACCCTGCTCTTTGTATTAATGAGACAGATACATAAATAGACAACTTCAACATATTTTAGCAAGAGTTACAATAAAGCAAGAAAACGCTGGAGAAGGAGCACCCAGTATTTCCTGGGGGGATTACAGAATGATTCACAAGGAAGTTGATAATCAAAGTCCATGCCTGAAGATGAGTTGGAGTTTTCTAGACAGATGAAGGTAAGGGCAGAGGACTGGCATGTACAATCTAAGGAAAACAGTATAGTACCTCATCATAAAGAATTATCTGGTTCAAATGTCAGTGGTACAGACCAAAGGAGGCCATGTCATTCAAAAGAGGCAACTTAACCCAGCAGAGAATGAGCTTAGAATGGTCCTTTAGCCTTGCGCCATCACTCAGGAGGAAGTAGGCTCATGAGGGAGACCAAATCAAGTTTTAGGACATAAAGAAACTTTGCACATTTGAGTTTACTGTGTGAATCGTAAACCTCAACATTTTTTCTGGTTATTACTGAGATTATTTATGATATTTGTTGAGTAACAGCTTATAGTAAGATGAGGACTCCACTTGAATTTTATTTTGTCTCAGTCAGTCATGGTACCATGCTTTTCCCATGACTTCAGTTCATAATTAAAAGTCATTTCCAGTTCAAAAAAATGAGAATGAAGGGATTGTTTGTTTTCGTAAATTCCACTTACCTCTTTTTTGAGCCAGTCATTCTCCCAGATCTCTAGATAACTGCCCTTGTCAATGAGCTTTACAGCATTCTAAAAGAGAGTTTCTGGATTAAGGAAGAGTTGTCACATGCTGATTCACAATTTTAGCAACAGTGATGTACAGTTTACCTGATCATTCATTTTAGATTGTGTCTGCAATTACTTTAGGAACATACTTAAGAACTTTTGATTTGGTTGTTCAATCTTTACTATCCTATTATATTGCTTTTGCTGATTTACACTGTCAATTACAGGTGATTTGGAGAACTGGACAATGTGTAACTGACTATTAAGTTGACCTCCATTGTGACTGAATCTGACTGCCATGGTGAAATCATGTTTCATAATTAAGATGGTTAAACTGCAGTCATCAAACATTCTTTAAGTTTGTAGTCACAGATGTAATCCAACATATAGCAAAAGCACGAACAGATTACTGTCTTTTTAATTTGAAAAAATTTTGCATGTCATTAATCACAACATGCGTATTTGTAAATCTAACAGCAAGTAGTTTCAGGGTAGCAGGCTAGATAGTCTCCTGAAGAAAGGCATTTCAGATAGAGAAGACAAAAGTCTTACTTTATCAGTAGGGTTATAAAATATAAATTTATTTTCAATTATGTGGATATTGAAAAGAATTTTATAATGAATAACTAACTGTATTTCTCTGTGAGATGCTTTTATATGGATACCATGGTACAAATTCAGTATTTAGTAACTGAAGGCCACAACTAAAAGAAGAGAAATTAAGAAAAATATTCTAGATCATAAACATGAACAGAAATGATTTAAAAGTATGTTAAGGGCAAATTTTACCTTTAAAGTATTTTATGTTTTTTGAGATGGAGTCTCACTCTTTCACCCAGGCTAGAATGCAGTGGTGTGATCTTGCCTCAGTGCAATCTCTGCTCCTGGATTCAAGGGATTTTTCTGCCTCAGCCTCTGGTGTAGCTGAGATTACAGGCACCTGCCAGCACACCTGGCTAATTTTTCTATTTTTAGTAGAGATGGAGTTTCACCATGTTGGCCAGGCTGGTCTTGAATTCCTGACCTCAAGTGATCCACCCACCTTGGCCTCACAAAGTGCTGGGAGTACAGGTGTGAGCCACTGCACCCAGCTCTATTAAAGTCTTTAAGAGTTGAAAGACTTGCCATAAAAATATTGCTTTAAGTCATGCTTATTAAATTACAAGTGGACCTATATTTCTTAGGAACCAGGGACTTTTGTACTCCAGTTACAGCTAATAATTCTAGTTTCTTCCAACACAGAATTTCATTTGGACAAAAGCAAGAAGTAGCTCCTAACTGAAGTTAATTTGCTAATGGCTGTATTCACTAAGAGTGGATGATGATTTCAACCTTAGTTACACATTTGAATCTCCTGGAAGCTTAGAAAAGTCCAGAAGCCCACACAACATCCCAGGGCAATATATCAGCCTTCGCTAAGGGTGAGATACAGGTATCACCTGGGTTAAAAAAAGTTTCTCAGGTGACTCCAATGTGCATCTAAGGTTGCAAAGCACTGGATTATAGGATATTGAACTGTATGATAAAATAGCCAGCTAAAATGAGGAAAAGTCATTCAAGCATGTGAGTGTTTGGCATTCTGTGGAGAAAAGAAAATGGTATAGTTTAGTGATTAGGAGCAATGATCTGAAGGAGTCCTTCTAAAATGAATCTCAATCTTCCCACTTGCTCTGGGCAAGTCATAAAACTGTTCTGTGCTCCAGGTCTCCTCATTAGCAAGTCTCTACAGTTTACTGGATTGCTGAGAGACTTAAATGTGAAATGCTTGAAAGAGTATTTAGAATAATCCCCATGATATATACTTTAAGTCATATGCTTATTCGGCCTATATGTCCACTTTTAATCATCTTAACTATGGTCAGATTACTTAATGGTTGATTTCACCATGTGAGTGAGTCAGATTCACTTACAAAGTGGCTGAATTGCATGAGCAAATAAATTGGCGATCAGTTGTCCAAAACCTTCTGTATTTGTGTAAATTAGTAAAAATAATGCAATAAAAGAGTAAGAATACAAGGACAACTGAACCAACAAATAATAGCAACTGAAATTCAGTAAGGAACCTTTTTGAGAAAATAACAGATGTTTATGATTCTGAGAAAAGAATGTCCCAGATGAACAGACAGTCTCAGTGGGGGATCTCACCGATTTTGAAGATAGTTTCAAGAGAGGTCAAGATTGAAAAAAAAAAAAAAAAAAAAAAAAAAGTCAGATATTTTATGTAAAACAAAGGAATTATAGAACATATAAGGTTGAAAATTATGCCTCAAAAAATGCTTTATATCCCCAATTTTTAAAGTGCCAGCAATGTAGAATATACTCTCTTTGGTTTGTATAAATAAGAAAGTACTTTCTATATAAATTATATTTCATTGTATAATTCATTTAAAACTTTTAATATTTTGGTACAACCATTATTACAGTTTGAGCATCCAAAATCTGAGAATGTGAAATATAAAATGCAATGAACATTTTCTTTGACCATCACGTTGGCACTCAAAAAGTTTCAGACTGTGGTGAATTTCGGATTTTTTTTTTTTGTTTTGGAGACAAGGTCTTACTTTGTTGTCTAGGCTGGAGTGCAGTGGTGCAAATATGGCTAACTGCAGCCTAGACCTCCTGGGCTCAAGCAGTCCTCTTGCCTCAGCACCCCAAATAGCTGGGACTACAGGCACACACCACCACTTCCAGCTAATTTTTGTATTTTTGGTAGAGACAGGGTTTCACCCTATTGCCCAAGCTGGGCTCAAACTCCTGTGTTCAAGCAGTCTACCCACCTTGGCCTCCCAAAGTACTGGGATTGCAGGAGTAAGTCACTGCACCCAGTGCAGACTTCTTTGGATTTTGGATTTTGGGATTTGAGGTGCTCAACTGCTATAATGCAAATATTCCAAAATCTGAAAAAATAAAAAATCTGAAACGTGTCAGATAAGGGATACTCAACCTATATTCCTTATACTTAAAAAAATCTGATTAATAATTGAGTGATCAGCCAAGCATGGTGGCACATGCCTGTAGTCCCCAGATACTCAGGAGGCTGAGGTGACAGGATTGCTTGAGCCCAAGAGGTGAAGTCTGCAGCGAGCTGTGACTGCCACTGCACTCCAGCCTGGGCAAGAGAGCAAGATCCTGTCTCAAAAAAAAAAAAAAAAAAGAAAAGAAAAAGAAAAAATTCACTGAGCTCTTGCTTCTTGTGAGACATTATGGTACTTAAATAATCTCATTTAATGGTCGCACTGTTTCTTTAAGTTATATACCAGTATTATTTTCCATTTTATAGGTTAGGAAGCAGAAGCCCCGAAAAACTAAACAACGAATTCATTATGCAGCCAGTAAGTGTAGAACAGTGGTTTAAACCAAACTGTCTGCCTTCAGAATCCATGTTCTTAGGTTTGGATATATAAGAAAGTACTTTTTAGACAGATTATATTTTATTTTATAATTCATTCAAAACTTGTTTTAATATTTGTTACAGCCATTATTACAGGCTGAGCATCCCAAATCTGAGAATATACCCAAAGTTCTTAAGCACTATAATATACTTAAAGAAAATACAGGGGGAAAATGTTTGTTTTGTACTGTTTTTAAGAAAATTGAATTATACCTGTGTAGCCCATTCCTTCTTTTGGTCCAGTTGCAACAAAGTTTCTTTGATTATTTTCTTTCTAGCATCTTCCAGAGTGACTTTATAGTGTTCTTAAAAAAAAAAAAAAAAAGAAAAGAAAAAATTAAAAGCCTTATCAAGGCTGATTCTAGGTAAAACTATGATGTCAGCAAATTTTATTTTCCATCATTCTCACTTCTCCTTTCTACACATTTTTTTTTCTGAATTTTCAGGGTATATTTTTACTGACAAATCTAGTTCCTCCAATTAAAAGACATACTCTAATAATTTACTAATACCTTAATGTGAATTAGTTTAAGATCTCTTACACAAGAACATTTGTATTTTCAAAGGACTATCTCTCCAAAGGCAGAATTTCAAACAGTTCAGCATTTGTGTGGCAGTCTACCCTTCATATCACACAACTTACTACTCCACAACAAAAATATGAAGACTTTATTATCTGTTCAAGTAGCTTTCTGTCTATCTGACTCCATCTAACTAGATTTCCACTATTCTTGGCATGTGTTTCCTGGGGTAGGAAAGAATGAGGAGAGGAGAGTAGATAGGGAGTAAGGGGCTGGGAAAGTTGACAGACCTGGTTGTAAGTTAGGCTCGGGCAAGAAAGAAAGACAGAAAGAAGCACAGGATTCTCTGTCCTTTCCAGATTTTCTCATGCTCACAAATGTCATTATTGAGAAAGCAAAGAATCATAAAATTTTAGGCCATGAAAGATGTTTAGAGATCATGTAATCAACATCCCTTCTTAAGGACAATGTGACACTGTGATAGCAAGGCTGCTTTAAAGAATGGAGAATAAAAAGCTGGACAAATGAGTCTAATTTGTTCATTCTTGTTTTCAAAAAATAACTATCAAGACCTTTCTGTATGCCAAACAGTGTATATACCCTGCAAATATTGCTGATTAAGACAGAAAAAAACCCTGTCCTTGTGATATGTACATTCTAATAGGGAAGCCAGATCATAAACAAGTAAACAGGTAAATAAATAATATTTCAGGCAGTGATGTGTGTGAGGAAGGAAAACTAAAATTCTCTATTTTAGTTCGAGTGATCAGAGAAACATTTTTGAGGAGGTAACATTCAGGCATTGACTAAGGTAGCAGTGTGAAAAATGAGGAAATTGTACTACAAACGAGTTAATCTGAGAATAATCAAGGTTAATTGTGTTTTATTAGAAGTTCTGTGTTATATATTCCCATTAGTTGTGCTTTATTTATATAACAGGACGATTATTTGGAAATCAGGAAGTATTTTCCCATACAAGTGATGCTGAAAAATCATGGCTGCTAGATTTCTGGAGAGGCCCAGAGGCTTACTTCACTTATTCTATAATTAAACAACAGTATTGTACTAACAGTGCTACAGAACCTTATTTCCATTGAGGACAGCAGTCCTCAACCTTTTTTGCATGAGAAACTGGTTTCGTGGAAAACAGTTTTTCCACAGACTAAGTGGGAAAGGAGGATGGTTTGGGGATAATTCAAGTGCATTACATTTATTGTGTACTTTATTTCTATTATTATTACATTTTAATATATAATGAAATAATTATACAACTCACCATAATATAGAATCATTGTGAACCCTGAGCTTGTTTTCCTGTAACTAAATGGTCCCATCTTGGGGTGATGGGAGACAGTGACAGATCATTAGATGTTAGATTCTGACATGGAGCATGCAACCTAGATCCCTCACATGTGTAGTTCACAGTAGGGTTTGTACTCCTAAGAGAATCTAATGTCGGTGCTGTTGGACAGCAGGCGGAGCTCAGGTGGTAATGCAAGTGATGGGAAGCGGCTGTAAATACAGGTGAAGCTTCACTTGCTTACCCACCATTCGCCTCCTGCTGTGTGGCCTGGTTCCTAACAGGCCACAGACTGATCTTGGTCTGTGGCTTGGCGGGATTGAGGACCTCTGATTTAGGAAATTGTTTCAAAGGGAAAATTTTCTTCACAGACCAAATCAGCCAAAGAAGAACCCTCAGGGATCTTATGCTATAAAGAAGGAGATCTGCAGGTCTGGTCTTTCAGTTGACCAGGAACCCAACTAAGGTGGCTACCACCAGAACTCAGGGGCCAGAGAGCTGGGAAGAGTTATTCAACCCTTATCTAGATTGAAAACGCTGAGAGCAGAAACTAAAAACTTCTCTTCCATATCTTTCCATTACTGTATCCCTGGGACACAACATATGCCAAAAAGTATTTTGAAGAAAATAAAAATTGGCAAACTGCAAGTCTTTGGTGGGCAGTGATCTGAGGCTTCAGCACCAGAAAACAAATACTGGCTCTTCCCCTTCTCTGGCAGCTTTGGTGGGGAGGGGAAGAAGGGGTAGAGAGAAAGAAAGGGAGAGTTCTCCCAACTTGTGGGGTGGCCAGAAAAGGCGGTCAGGGGAGGGCAGCTTCTGCCTCTAATAGAGATGGACTAGAGTGAGGCAGTGGTTCATAAGCAAGAAGTTTGTTAAGTTTTTGGAGTTTGTCTACTTTGACATCTAGAGAATAAGAAATGGAAGTTTTTATTATTCTAACCTACATATTTCCATTTACATAGCCTGGATTTTTCTTATTTATTTGAAGTAATCTTGTAAATATTTTGATCCTTCCAAACTAATTTCTGATGGAATTTCTTTTTTCAGTTTACAACCTAGCCCATCAGCTTAATGTTGGTTATTTATTTGAACTTCTACCCAACAAAACACAATAATCGATCTAAAAGTTGCAATGGATCAGGAGCATAATGGATTTTAGTTTCTGAAAGAAACCATAAAACCTGGAGCTTGATAACATGAAATATTAATTCTTTGCTGTAAATAATTTAAAAATACATTATCAAATATACTCTGACTAAAGATGTAGCTTTCTCTATTGCCTTATTAATACTGAACAAGCAATATTCACATTCGACTCTCTTCCAACTTCCATATAAAATTGTACAGACCATTTTTGTTCTTAAAAGTGCAGTACCCATCACAAGGGTGAATGCCTCATTGTTATCTTTTGTGGTTCAGATCATGCTTCTGGTAACAACAATTAACCATTTCTTGGTGAATGCAGCCAAAGAAAGTGGGAGCATATAAAAGTCTCCTCATTAAAGCTCGAGACACTGCAAGTGGGAGCTTGAGAGATAAGGACTGTGCAGAAGACTCCTTGCTTCTCGACACCCCATCTAATGGGGTCCCTTTTCAGAAGCTGACCCCACCTCAAAGTGTACTGGCTAAAGCTTGCTTTGCACTGTTCCGCCTTCCCTGTTGTATATGGCTCTGCTTTGGTTTACTCTTTCACGGCCTGTTGGGAGCTTTGTTATTCACTCTTCTCCAACTTCTGGGGTCACACAGCTCCATCCTGTTGACTCTCCCCTGTGGCAGTGGCCTCTTTTCAGCCCCCTTTGGAGAAAACTGAGCAGGAGCTAGCAGAAACACTGGCCGGGTAGTAATCTCTTCAGCGTTGCCCCTAACTCACTGAATCACAGACTTATGGGGACTATTTGAAGCAGATGGGGTGCTCACTTGGGCAGCTCATATACTAAAATTGAAGCAGATGGGTTTGGGGCCTAACATACCTGGGTTCAAATCCCTGCTCCATTAGTTTACCAACTTTGTGAGTTTGGTTAAGGCAATTAACTTCTCTGGGACTCTTTCTTATCTTTAAACTGGGCATAATTATATGTAACACAAAGGAACTTGTAAGGATTAGACAAGATATGGAAAAGCAGATGCTGGAAATGTGTGTCCTCTTGGAGATCACCTAGAGACTCTGACTTCATAGGCAAGAAAACATTCAAAGAAGCAATGCCACTTTTTTGTAAGGAGTCTTGAACCTAATTTTTAAAAATCCACTGTTAGTGTACAAAGAACTTTTAAGAATCCCTGACCTGTGCCCCAGTAAAGGATAAAAATAAAAATGCTCTGTGACTATAATTATATAATGACTTGTAATAATGTCTCACCTTCTCTATTCCTGGGCTTAATCTAAGGTCCCTTTTCCTTTTATTGAGGAGAAGTAGCCTTGGCCTGGATATATTAGTGACTGTTTTCTGTACCAGTGTCCCAATATCCCATTCTAGTTAAAGTTCAGGGAAGCAACTCTAAGTGTTTTCTCCTGCCCCTGGCTTCAGGGGGAGCTGCTGAATAAGGCAGGTGACTGAGGAACAGTTTGTGTTGGGGCTGACTGGTGACCCATGAGGAAGCATGGACAAAGGCCTTGGGTCATCTTTGATGAGGTGGTTGATGGCACCGGCTGTCTTTAGAAGTGGGCTGGAGAATACTGCAATAACTGTTCTGTGGAAAGTAGAAGGGGGACAGGTATGCAGATCAAAGCAGAGGTGCCAATGAGAGGGACAGTCATAGATCAGGGGAGAGAAATGTGGGGAGGAGCCATGACTAGAGCCACTGCTAGTCTCATTCTGTCTTTAGTCTTCCCCTTCCTCACTTGTATTACAGCCAACAAGTATGACCCTTGGGAAGTCAAGCAACTTATTTGTCCCTTTCCTTTAAAAAGTCACACTGTGAGGCTATTGACTTCTTCTCAATAAAATATATGGCAAATCCTCTGACTTCTAGTGCCTTTGCGGTAACAAAAGGTACTCCAACAGGTAATTAATACATCCAGAGTACATATTGCAATAATTTAAATTTCTTTCAGAGTTATGCCAATCCCCTTTCCTAACGTGGGCCTACTGCTATTTCCTCTGCCTTGAGCTTCCATGATTTCTCTCTCAATGCTGAAAGGAAGACAGGAGCATGGAAAAACCAAAGAAAGCTCTCACTTGACTGATACTGTCTCAAGCTGATGTCCACTTTCTGGTCCTAGCTGGCATTTAAGACTGGTGCCTTGTCTCATGGGAGTGTTTTAGTAGGTTCTTTGGAGGATAAGCTTCCCCATTTCAAATGATATTTCATCTGCATTCCCTTGATGCTGGGCAAATACTGTCCTTAGAAGTTGGTAACAACTTTTCTGTTGGTCCCTGGTTTTCAATTCTGCACTCCCCTCCCACAATACAAGATCCCTATTTTTCTGTTGGGAACTATCACCAGCCCCCAACACCCTACTCAGCTGTCTCAGGCAAGATTTCACGTGACTGTTCCCCGACTCTCTCTCATATCAAGTTGACAAAAAACATTCCTCCACTCTTTGTCCTGACAAACTCAGGAGTGCAGGCTCTGCCCAAGGCAGCAGCCACCTCTTCTGTGTTCTGCTGTCAGCGTAGTTATTCAGCCAGTTATTCCCTAGATTTCTCAGGGATGAGTCATAAACTAGACCTGAATGTCCAAACTACAGGGGACACATACTGAAACATCTGATGGGTCTCTCTGAAGACCTTCCATCCAGATGTGAGATGGAGGAGGAATTACATTTTACCTGCTTCTCGGTGGGGGAAAATGTAGGACTGATAGCACACCAAGAGCTCTTTCCAAAAGCTGTCCACTAATTTCTAATAACCTTTTCTTGCCCTCTCTAACTTCTTGTGTAGTCTGGAATTCATTAGTCCAAGGTGTGAAACTGGTTTTCATCTTCATCAAATTGCAAATCTGTGTGGTGGTATGTCATCTCATTTTGCCACCTCAGTGTAAGCTGAGACTTTAAATAAAGTTTTAATATCCTGTTTCACTTACAGCAGACTCCCAGCCCCCAACAATAGTCTGAGTCAATTTCTGTTCCTTGCATGTAAAGCAGCCAACTAACACAAAGCCCATAATTGTTGGAGGAGAATTCCAGGCAAGTAGGAGAAAAAGAGGGGGTGATGGTAGTAATTCTTCAGATAGACTGATTCAGGAGTCTTGCTCATATTCATTGTGTCCAGTTAGTGGTCCCCAACATGTTTTAATAGTTCCCCTGGTGGAGTGGCTCCTGCTACCTGGATGGTTAGGAGAAGTGCCTAAAACTAATGGAAAATAAGACAAGCTCATAACTATTTTCTCATGGCTGTGCCCCATGGTTTGGCCAGCAAGTAATTCAATATATAAATGTTATTACCACCCCAAAGTTGAACACAACTGCATGAAAATTTTTAAGTTAAAGAAATCATCCTAGTTAACAATTAATTCATTAATTTAAAATAGGGTCTTGCTCTGTCACCCAGGCTGGAATACAGTGGCACAATCTTGGCTCACTGCGACCTCTGCCTACTAGGCTCAGGTGGTCCTCCCACATAAGCCTCCTAAGTAGCTGGAACTGCAGGTGTGCGGTACCATACCCAGTTAATTTTTGTATTTTTGGTAGTGATGGGGTTTCACCATGTTGCCCAGGCTGGTCTTGAACACCTGAGCTCAGGTGATCCACCCATCTTGGACCCCCACCAAATGCTGGGATTACAGGCATGAGCCACCACGCCTGACCCAATTAACCAGACTTCTGATCAAGATAATGGGTTAAGTTTATATTAGATCATTTTTCCGACTTCAAAAATGTAAAATAAATACTGGCTAAAATATTTAAAATTGTGAAAACATACCGGAACAATAACTTTTAAAACAGTATTCTACTGGTTAGCAAATGTATAGACAGATTTAATAGATAGTAGACAATAAGATTCAGATATATATGAGAAGTTAATGTATAATAAAGTCTGCATTTTGAATCATTAGGATAATGATGTTGGAACAACTGGAAAACTATTTGCTAAAAAAGTTGGATTACTTCCTCACACAAAAACAAATACTTAAATATAAAAAAACCCCAAAATTTTAGAATAAAATATTGGAGAATTTATTCATAATCTCATAAACATAAAATCAAAAACTGACAAGCTGGGTACTTTAAAAGCACAACATTACTTCATTACCCACAAACAAAAATCTAATGACAAATGGGAAAAATATTTGCAATTTATATCACAGTTAAAGAGCTAATTTCTTTAAAATGTAAAGAGTGCCACAACACAATAGAAAAATGGTTGAAGGGTATGAACAAAATGAGTCATGGGAAAGGAAATTCATATAGCTCTTGAAGTTATGAAAAGATACATTCATTGTCACTTTTAATAAAAGAAATGGAAGTTAAAACTACAATGAGATACCATTTTTGATCCATAAGACTGACAAAGAACAAAAATTTGGATACCACCCCCTGTTGAAGATGTGGAAAATAGGTATCCCTACGCTTACTGGTAGAAGTGCAACTTGGTACAACCTCTATGGAGGGCCACATTTATCACAGTAAAATAAACAGGCTGTTTCACACAACCATTTCTTTGAGAGATACACATTAGTGAAATGACATAAATACAAGAATATTTGTCACAGGAAAATGAGATAGGTGTAAGGATAGTCATTGCAGCATTATTTGTAATAGTAAAAGACTAGGAACAACCTTAATGTTTATGAGTAAGAAACTGGTTAAAAAAATTATGGTTACCAGCCTGGGCAACACAGTGAGACCTCCACAATAAATAAATAAAATTAGCTTTCCCAACACCATTTATTAAACAGGGAATCCTTTCCCTATTGCTTGTTTTTGCCAGGTTTGTCAAAGATCTGATGGTTGTAGATGTGTGGCATTGCCTCCAAAGCCTCTGTTCTGTTCCATTGGTCTGTAGCTCTGTTTTGGTACCAGTATCATGCTGTTTCGATTACTGTAGCTTTGTAGTAGAGTTTGAAATCAGGTAGCCAAATGCCCATTGATGATAGACTGGACAAGGAAAATGTGGCACATATATACCATGGAATACTATGCAGCTATAAAAAACAATGAGTCTGTGTCCTTTGTAGGGACATGGATGAATCTGGAAACTATCATTCTCAGCAAACTGACACAAGAACAGAAAATCAAAGACTGCATGTTCTCACTCATAGGCAGGTGTTCAACAATGAGAACACATGGACACAGGGAGGGAGCATCACACACTGGGGTCTGTTGGGCAAGGGGAGCCAAGGGAGGGACAGTGGGGGAGTGGAGAGGTCAGGGAGGAATAACATGGGGAGAAATGCCAGATGTAGGTGACGGGGGGTTGGAGGCAGCAAACCACATTGCCATGTGTGTACCTATGCAACAATCCTGCATGATCTGCAGATGTACCCCAGAACCTAAAGTACAATTAAAAAAAATAAAATAATAAAATAAAATTAGTTAGGTGTGGTGGCACATGCCTGCTGTCCCAGCTACTCAGGAGGCTGAGATGGGAGGATCATTTGAGCCTGGGAGGTAGGGGCTGTAGTGAGCTGTGTTCACGTAACTGCACTCCAGCCTGGGTGACAGAGTGAGACCCCCTTTCAAAAAAAAAAAAATTATGGTACAACAAAACAATGCAACCACTGGAAGAATGATTTAGAAGGATGTTCATATTGTTACATAAAAAGCAAGTAAAACATATCTATAACATGCTATTTGTGCTAGATATATATATATGTAAATGCATAGGCTGTTTCTGACTGCTACTTAAGAAACTGGTAATAGTGGGAAAGGATCTGAGTGGGGAATGAGGGAATAGGAGGCTGACACTCTCGTTCTCTTTTCAGGAGAAAAAACTTTGACAAATTAGAACTTCAAACCCAGACTGACATGGGGCCAAGCTTACACTATCACTGTGGCGCAGAGGCCCTAAGCTGAGAAACTTACATACAAACTGGTTCACAAGCAGAGGTAGCTGACAGGGGAACATGAGAACAACCCACAGGAACCCCTCCATAACACAGGGCACTATCTCCAGCTGGGTTCTGGACGGTTGTCCACCCACAGCAACTCTTTTGGGGCAGATTTCCCCTATTAATTCTGTCCTTCGACTTCTATATCTGGGTCTTTGGTGTTCTTTTAAGCCACTATGCTTGCCTCAGTGACAGATAGCTGGCCCTCATCGTGTCCAGATCTAGTCTGGTAAGCTTCATTGCTCCTGATGCCATCCTACTCTCCACTTCCCATCTCATGTTTGTTTCCCGGTTTTTTCCTGGCTACAATTTAATTGACTTCGACAATTCTCCATGATGAGTCTAGCTATTCAGCCTGGCTAAGCAGACTTAGCTTGCCCCAGGTGAATTCTCTTTATAATATAACCTGGCCTCAGGACATTGCTATCTTGGTGGAATTGCTTCTGCCCCAGTCTGTAAGCATACAGATCCCCTTCATTGAATGAAGCTTCTTTCTTGTTTTTATTTATTTATTTTTTTGAGACAGGGTCTTGCTCTGTCACCCAGGTTGGAGTGCAGTGGCACAATCACAGCTCCCTGCAGCCGTGACCACGGCTCTCAACTGATCCTCCCTCCTCAGCCTCTCATGTTGCTGGGGCTACAGGCACGAGCCACCATGCCTGGCTGATTTTTACTTTTTTCTTTTTTTTTTTTTTT